TATAGCGGTTGTACATGTCTCCATGACAAGGGTCAAGAGCTACAAGAGCATTTCAACTAATCTTTGACACATAATCTGCTCTTTCGGGCACTGCAGGAAAACCCACAAGTAACAAATATAAGAAAATATTAATAGAAAGTGCATAGAATTTGAAATGAAATGCAATAGCAACATGCCTGAACAGGAGCTAGCAAAGTAAGTGGGATGAGCCTCTAGGAAAGATGCTGCAGCTACTAGTGCTAAATCAAGGGTCATTGGTGCATATGATGGCACGTCAGGATGCTCTACAGGTGAAGCTACACCAACTCCTAATGACTCACTAGGTCATAAAAACTAGCTTCAGATGTCTCTCTAGGCCAAAAAGACCCATACAGCTCCACCTGAAAGCTGAACTCTGTAAAGGGATCCGGTGCACTGTATCCGGTGAAGTCTAACATCCTGGGATGACGTGACCCCTGATGAGTCTAGTGAAGTCGCCATTTGGGAGGCCATTGACAGACATGATCCACGAGGTGACAATGATATTCTTGATAGACTTGAGCAGCATGAGCATATGTTGCGGGGTCGTGACATCTTCCGCAGTTTCTTTTTGCATTCACCAATAGCTATCATCAGAGTATGTTACTTTTAAAGAGCTCAGTTAAGGGGTCACAAGCATCAAATTATCATGTGGGGAGTACAATCCAGTAGACATCATAGTTGATCAGATTATGTGGGGCATGTGTGACATTCTATAGCCTGCAACTGATACTGTCGAGTCTGTAGGGCAATCGAGGCTACTGAGGTATTGCCAGCTGCATTTGACGACATTAGAGTGGCCATGTGACTCTATAGTTGGGCAGATATAGAGTCATGTTGTTGGATATGTGTGTTAGGTCAGGTATGTATTGAGAGCTCATATGTATATATTGCAGGAGGCTAGCATTTATGAGGCTATATATACCTCTTTGTTTGACTTTGAGCGGATCCCCTCTTCTTGAGCCCGCGGTCTGGTAGACTTTTGTGATGGCGGTAGCATTACATGTTGGATTGGATCAGAGGAGTTGACAGTCACACTCTTAGAGCTATAGGTAGTGTCAGGGTTACCTATTGTTGGATTCCACTTTAAAGATTGTATTCCTCTTGATGTAGAGTTATTTCGTAGGATTCTCTCAGTAGATGGAAACAGGAGGGGGAGATTAGTTTTGTTAGATGTCTACCCAGCCCTCCTTCGGCACTACGATCAGGTGTACAGGTCATCGAGTCTGCCGATGCGTTCCCGAGCCACTATGCCCGTAGATGTCTGGGTCCACAGCTTTCTTCAGGACCGCTACATGTCTTATGTTGTCGTGTTGTTAGGTGACCCCTTCGACCTTGGCCTAGGACAAGATTTTGTTATCAGAACATACTGAAGAGCCCTCTTCAGTTGGTTACATGTCTCCCGCATTGTCAGGCATCAATGAGGATTTGTTCTTGGCATGGTTTCTAGTCACATGGATGTGTACTTTTGTTCTCACACTTAGGGGGGGATCTGTATGTTGCAGTGCTACTAGCAGCCAGTCAGATTTCTCAGGGGCAACGCCTTTCTATGGCTCCAGCGGTGTTTGTTAGGATTTATAGGGTCCTTCGGTAGCTTCTAAGGCGAGTTCCTTTGATCTATGAGATCTGATTTTACCATGACATTACTTGTTTGGTTGGATTCATCTACATATCTGAGGTGCTTTTTTCATGCCTGAAGTGTCCTTAGTGTTTTTTGGAAAAGGGATACCGACAGTTATGCAGCTGACACAAGCTTCCTCCACTCTTGAGTCAGAGTGAGTGCGTCTCTTCTTCTTCGCTCTGCACCTGGATGTATATCATTTCTCTGTGTTTCATCAGTCAGATATTGTCTATTTGCCGTCTCACCTGAGGGAGTAAGTTATTATTGATGGACTCAACAGGCAGAGGAGATGTATTATGTTATAGAGTAAGGGCAATTTGAGGGTGGTTGAGTACTTTTCCAGCATGGGCCCAGGCTTGTTGTGTCATCGTTCAGGGAACTGTGTGACACTAGAGGGATACCAGCCGAATAGAGTGGATCGCCAGTTTTGTTTTTCACAAGCTACAAGATATAATAGACGACCACTTATTTCTAGGGTGGCAGATACCAGACACATGGGCAATGTTCTTCCAAACGTTTGGTTCTATGCAGCTTCTGTAGTATGGTTTCACTTACTGAGATTTGATACTAGCTCTACCTTCTGCATAACTCCTCCCCACAGTCAGACTGGTGTCAATTACACGCACTTGACTTGGGTACGACTTTCTTTTGTCCCTTTTCTGGAGCATGGTATAAGGAAGTCTGAGCACCAAGTATGGGCTTTGGGAGTGCCGAGGGAATAGAGACCCTCGCAAGGCTCTTTATGGGCCAGAGATGGCAGAGGAAACTCCTTCATTCCTTTTCCCCCCTTTTCATTACTAGAAATTTTTAAATTGTTTATTCCTTTAATTGGTAGTTATACGCAAAATTATATAGAAACTAATTGGAAACACGTAAATACAATAACTTCAAAAAAATATATATATGCCCATGAGTTGCTCATCCCCTTTAGGGCTCAGCAGATGAGCTGATTAGTGCCACGTGAATAATCCAAGGCTCTCTTCCTTCCTTTTTTGTACATGGATATGTAGGAGATGTGTTTTCTTGGACGAGTGAATCGTGGCTTCTTCTTTCCTTCTCTAGCATTTTTTTGTGGGCCTCATTAAGACTACCAACCTTTAGTCCCAACTGGGCCTTTCAGCCTTTCAACACTTCCTCTCAAACTGGTTGGTATAGATCTATCTTCCTAATTTTACTTGCGATATTTTTGAGCATGGCATTGCAAATTCCTTTAGTGAACATCAGCAAACTATTTTACCGTAGGAAATACATAGTGCAAATCAAATTACTTTCTAGTTTCTTTTTTATGAAGTGTTTATCTGCTTCCACATGTTTGGTTTCAATCATTTTGGATTGGATTATGAGTTGTGTTGATGTAGATTTATTATCACATTATATCTTCATATTTCTTTACACCTGATTTTAAATCTTCTAAAATAATTTTGATCCATAAAAAAATTATGAATACCTTGGGAAATTACTTTTAATGTGGATTAAATGTTGAATCTTGAAACAATAGGTTGTTTCTTGTTCCATGTTATAAATTTTCCATTCATAAGTGGATCTCCTATCCACTTGTGACCTCGCATAGTCAACATCTGTATAACTTTCAATTTATAGAGTATCATAACTTATGTATAGAATCTATTTTTCGAAACTTACTTTAAGATAATTATCACATCTTTAACTTTTGACTTTTGAGTATGCTTGTTTAACGGTGTCCCAAACATTTTTTGCTGTTGTTAGGAGCATGTATGGCCAATTGATTTCAGGCATCATGATGTTTCATAACTATTCATAAATTATGTAATCTGCTTCATCTGAAATTGCAAAATTTTGTTCTTTTGCTATGGAGGAAGATCCATAAAATGATTGATTTTTTCTTTCTTTTTAAAAAGGTCTTCATAATTTGGGACCACTTCAAATAATTTCTTCCATTCAAGTCATATGAGGATGTGACCCCCCTTAAAGCTCTCCTTTGCTCTAATTGTCACCATTTATGATGGTTGACTCTTTGAATTGAAGTCAAAGAAATATGACATAATCAAGAGAATAAAAAATTAAAAAGAGGAATAACAAAGGTTGGAAAAAGAGAATCATAACCTTGCTCTAACATCAAGTAGAAAAGAAGTGGCTAGGAAAGCTTATGTTGTTTATTCCTTCAATGGGTATTTATACACAAAATTATCTATAGAATGAATGGAAATAACTAAATACAAATAACAAATAACAAAAAAAAAAGCCCATTAGCTGTCCACCCCT